CAAAGACAGAAGGCCTGTTATAAGCGACAAATTCGTTTTCTATACTAATATAATTGCTACTCGCCCTTCTTATTGAGATGCGCACTGGTGACGGTTGCTTGTATCCTAAACCTTCACGTGGTTGCCTCATTGCAGCTTCTGATGGGAGCTTCCCTAACTTTGACGGCTCATTGGGATTGTATCCAGCTTTTGCAAATAGTTTGTAAGCATTAGGATCAAACCTTCATCTGTTCGCTTTGTAGGGAGTGCCACATTCTGCAAACGATTTTGGGCTACAAACCCTGCAAGCGGCTTTAAGGACAACTTTACTGCCTCAATTCGTTTTACCGGAAGAGTTAACTCCCTTAGCGTCTTGGTTTGGATATTATGTGATCCGCTCTCGTCTTTCTTCCTTTTAGGGACATATTGGAGCGCGAGACTTACTTTCTTTCCATAAGACGCAATACCCTCTTTATGAGATTTATTCACGTTGGCGGGTACTTCCTCAGTAACAGTTTTGGCTTTACCAATAGTCACATCAGCTCTTTTAGTTATGGGTTCGTCATTCTTGCTTTTCGTACCATCATCAACTTTCAGCTCCTTCACAATGCGGTTCTTCAAGTAGAACTTTGCATCAACAAAGTGTGACTCAGCCTCGGTGAATGGGTCATCATCAGCAACTACCGTCTTCTCGACTTTACCCTCGTAGTATTTTAAACATTGATGGTAGGTAGATGGAACTACTTTATTCTCATGTATCCAAGGCCTCCCAGGCAAAATATTGTATGAAATCTTCGCGTCGATCATATGTAGCCATGCACTTGATTGCATATCTTCAATAGTGATTCCTAGCCTGATCGCGCCTATGGCTCTTTGCCCCCCTTGGTTGAATCCTTGGATCATCACACGACTTTCTGAGAGTTCGTTCATGGGAATACCAAGTTCCTTCACAGTGTGGATTGGCAAAATGTTCACTGAGGATCCTCCATCAACCAAAATCCGATTTACCCTTTCATCGCGCATATTGCCAACCGTGTACAATGGGCAGTTATGAGGAGTGTCACCTAGCAAAAGATCGTCATTTGTGAACGTGACCTTTTCCTCACAAGCATTAACTTCTTGAGGAGTGGACTCGATGGGATTTTCTGAAGATGGTGACAACGGTAGATCATCACTCTTTTCTTCCCCTTTGCCAGCATGGCAACAAGAGGCATCAATGCCCCCGTGGGAAAATCTTCATGCGGAACCAACTAGAGACTTGGTTTGTGCTTTCTTTCTCATCTTCAAGCACGGTCTTCTTTTCGCGAGCCAAATCCATGACTTTATCCTTGAAAACAAAGCACTTCTCCAGAGGGTGGCTTACAAGTCGGTGATATTTGTAGTAGTTCAGGTTATTTGTTTTCCTAGCTTCATTTGTTCGCTTCATCTCCGGAAGCTCAATGAGATTTAACTCGAGGAGTTCTTCAAAAATGGTTGGCACATCAGAATCCAGGAATGGGTACTCTTTTTCCTGCATTTCTTTTAGAGTCAACTTTCCACTTGGCTTGTCTTGAAAAAAAGTGGATTTTACACTCTGCTTCTTGCTCACCTTCATCGTGAACTTCATAGGTGACGTATTGACATTCATAGCTTCTTTGCTTTCAGACTTGGGTATGAACTTGCCCCGCTTCCTGACTTCTTGCTTGTCATTCACTTTGCGAGGTTCATAGATGGGTAGCCTTTCATTTCCAGCGGAGGCCATGCTCAATTCCATGTCATGGGCACGAGTTGCAAGTTCTTCAAATGTGCTAGGCTTGATACCTTGCAAGATGTAGCGCAATCCCCAATGCATGCCTTGGATGCACATCTCAATGCCTGAAGCTTCACTAAGCCTGTCTTTGCAGTTGAGGCTTGCATTCCTCCATTGATAAAGTCGATAATTGGTTCCCCATTTCGTTGACGAGTATTTGTAAGCTCTATCATACTCACAGTGCGTCTTGTGTTATAAAAGCGATTGAGGAACTCTTGCTCTAGTTGATCCCAACTGTCGATAGATCTAGCCTCGAGGTTCGTGTACCAGTCAAAAGCATTTCCTTTTAGCGAGAGGACAAACTGCTTGATGAGGTAATCTCCATAAGTCCCAACATTGTTCCACGTCTCCACGAAGTGCGCAATATGTTGCTTTGGGTTACCTTTACCATCAAATTGTTGAAACTTTGGAGGTTGATAGCCAGCATGCATCTTCAACATATCGACCCTTGCAGTGTACAGCTTTGCATATGTAAGGGAGGATTTGACAGCAGCTTCATATTTGTTCTTAATGGTTCCTTCGATGAACTCCTTTAGTTGATCAATTGGAATCATCCCTTCAGATGAGACAGGGATAGCCTTAGTGGATGTTGATTGTCTTGGGGAAGAGTCACTCTCTTGAACTTCTGGGAGCTTGCCGTGTGCATGGGTAGATTCTTCTTCCATCAAGATTCCCACCCTTTCTGTTAGCTTGTTAATTCTAGCCTCTTGATTTTGCATGCATTTGGTCAAGCCAGCGATTTCTTCCATCAAGTTTGCCAACTGCTCCTCCATAGATGAAGTGTTTGTCACCATAGCTTGCATGATTGTCGTGGATGACGGAGAGTAGCATGGATTTTCACACAGATTAATCCTTGACTGGCTCACGCTATGTGGTGTAAGTGGGGAGGATCCATCGCTTGAAGCATCATCATATTCCTTTACAGCAGAGTGCTTGGAGCCGAAGAGGTCAAGTAGAGCAAGAGTTTTTTTGATCTTTTCAGCAACATCGCTTCCTCCTTCAGATGCATTTGTGGAAGATCTTGCTCCTTTTGAGGATGAAGATCCGAAAACAGGGGTTGATGCGGACGATACTTGGGGTGCTTGTTGTCCTAAAGAGCTTGCTTTGCTCCTCGTAACTGGTCCGAAGCTCCCAAAGGTAACATCGAGGATGCTTTCCACATCAGCATAGAACCTGGAGTTAGCAACCTTGGTGAATCCTGATCTGGAGTTGATTTTCGTCGAAGCCATTTAAATGTTCTTGAACTTTGGTGATTGAAAAGTTGAGATGAGAGTAGAGATTGACCCACTGGGCGTGCCAGAATTTTTAGACAATAAATTGCGTCGAGAAAATAAAATCAAGACCGAAAAATATCGCAACAATCGTAGTATTTAATTTCGAATATTTAAGTGTACAATCTCTATGAATCCTCTGATTCTTCTTTTCAATGGTAAATAAATTCAAGGGCATTTGAACTTGATCTTGAATCTATGTTTGTTGCCACGAACGATGATCTTGTTCTTGAGCTTGAGCTTGATTGCTTGCACTTGAACTTGATTTGGTCTTCGTTCTTGAGCTTGAACTTGATTTGATCTTCGTTCTTGAGCTTGAACTTGATTTGTTCTTCGTTCTTGAGCTTGAACTTGATTTGTTCTTCGTTCTTGAGCTTGAACTTGATTTGTTCTTCGTTCTTGAACTTGAACTTGAAGCTTAAAACTTGTGGAGGAATTTGCAGCGTTTGATCCACGAGCTCTTTCTTGTTTCTTGTTATAACTTCTAGCCTCTTTTCTGAGTTATGAAAAGCCCTATTTATAGTTGTGGAAGAAAGGAGTCATGATAAGAACAAACTCTTTCCGACCAATCAAATTGAAGTGTGACATGACCGCATTTGATTGGCCAGAACATGTCACTTGCACACGTGGCGCGATTTCATTTGTCTTTTAGTGTGACTTGGCATGCCTTGTCATTTTGACACGTGGCATGATCCTATTGGCTCTTTTGTTTGACTTAGCGTGCCACATCATTTCACGCGTGACACCAAACTGGGCCTCTAGGAAGATGATATCTTGGGCTTAATGAAGTGGGTTCATCACTTTAGCCCAATTAAATGGGCTAGCCCAATGGATTAAGACTCATTTATTTAATCCATATATATTGGACCTATATAATTAATTCATTTATATATTAGCCCATAATATTTATTTGGACCAATGTATCTTGAATTTAAAATATAGTCCAAATTATTTTATGGATTTAATTTAAGTAAAATTTATATGCCTACATGGTCATATAAAATAAAGGTCACAAAAATAAGGTAGAAAACCAATATTTATTGTTATTTTATTATAATCATTCAAATTTTAATTGATAAAGTTATTTTTGAGACCCTTGAATTATAGTAAAAGAGAAACGATAGCCGAAACAATGGTAATATCACAATGGAAGTTTAGCTTTGCTTTGAATGGCAAATACTCACGTTAGTTTTGATTTAATAAATATATTACACGTCATATAATTCAATATATTAAGATTTTTACATAGTTCAAATAAAAAAAATATAATAAGTAAAATTTCAGCTAATTTTAACGTCTTAAAAGTTAGAAAAATAATTAAATGATTCTTTTGAGTGTAAAATTAATTTTCTTGATTTCTTTTTATATTTCTTATATTTGTCGAAGGATATCTAACAATGGAAATGTAGCTTTTCTTTGGATGGAAAATCACTCACGTTAGGTTTGATAATTAATGTGTTACACATATTGCCAAATATTATGACTTTTTACATATATACTTCAAAAAAGAATTAAGGAAAGATATAATAAGAAAAATCTTAGGTGATTTTAAAGTCCTAAAAAAATTAGGAGAAATAAT